TATGATAGTATTGTTCACCGCTTTTCCCATCGTGCAACCTTAAAGTGTATAGCACGAGATCTATGATTTTGAGCCTTAACCATTTTTTGGATTTGAAAGCTCACTACTGGACTATAGATCGATTTCAAGATAACCAATTTTTTGCTACTATTGCTCACTACTAGACCGTAGGGTGATTTCAAGCTAACCAACTCTTTTGTATTGCTACTCACCACTTAGACCCTCGGATGATTTTAATGTGTTGAGCACCTACTTAGTGTTTTTGAGCTTTCGCCATTTTTTTGGTTTTGAAAGCTCATCTCTAAGACTGTAGAGCGATTTTCAACTTATAACCCACTTTTGATTTTGTTGCTCCCCGCTTAGCCCTTCGAGTGATTTTGATATGTTGAGCGCTTGTCTAGTGGTTTTGAGTTTTAATCAATTTTGTTTATTTTGAAAGCTCACCACTAAGAATGTATAGCGATTTTGAGTTTATAACCAGCTTTTGATTTTGTTGCTCATTGCTTAGCCACTGGACAATTTTGATATGTCGGACGAAGTTTTAAGCCACGATTCGTACAAAAAATCTCAACGGTTGTAGATCAAGTCCATGCATTTAGACAAAACTTACTTAGATTTGGGGACTCAGTTGACACACCGAGATGTCCCAACAAGGTTGCCCTTCCTTACAGCCCTCACCGTACATCACCGTCTAAGCTTTTCATTGAACGATGCTAATAATTACACGAAGATAGAACGAGTAGCTGACATTACATTAGGAAAATCAATAAACTTCCTAACAACTATATTTACAAGGAAAATAGAAAGATGTCCTAACTAACCATTTTTTCGAAAGCTCATCACGTAACTCCTTAGAGGCTTAAAATCCAACGTTGTGACTGGTGGAAAGTCCATATAGCTTGTACACTGTCTATACAACATTTCCTTAAAGCGTGTTGATCGTTCCTCACATATCCAACCCCTCGACTAGTTGAAAATTTCATTACTTGGCGGTAAGTTGAAGGGACAACACCGACAGCATTTAATAGTGGTCGACCGTAGATTGCATTGTATGCCACGGGGTTTTGACAATCAAAAAGTTTGTCATGATCACCACACTTGTTGAGTAAGTGCCTAATGTCACCAGAAGCTCTACAATTCCTTTTAGTATCACAGTTTCCCCTCCAAAACCTTATGGAGGTATAGTCACACTTTTCAATTTTTCTAGAGAAATTTTCAAGCCCATAAGAGCTTCCCAAGTAAAAACATTCGCTACACTGCCGCCGTCGACCAGCACCTTCTTGACATCAATATCAACTATAACAACCATCAAGACATCGTCATGGGGGCTTGTTACAATGATCAAATCTTCTTCACCAAAAGTGATGTTTTGATTGAATCATCTCTTCTTTTGAATAGAGCAGACCCCAATAGAGCATGCATAACTCTTTCTACCTGAATTTGAGGCTCCAACTACTGCCATCCTATCAATGAAAAAATTTATTACCCTAGCCCTAGGTGAAGGATGATTATCAACCTTTTCCTTGCCTCAATCATTCCTCACATACTTAGTCAAGAAACCCCATCTTAGAAGGCGCTCGATCTCTTTTTTCAAGTGTATGCAATTTTCAATCTTATGTCCATAGTCTTTATGGAAATAACAGTACTTGCCTTTATCTCTCTTGCTAGTAGACACAACTGGTGGTTTTGGCCAATCAAGCTCTTTCATATCTCGTATCTCCATCAGTAACTTAGCACAAGTGGTATTTATAGGAGGAACGGCCTTAACCTATTTTCGCCTTTGCCTGGTCAACCGCTCCGACGCATACCCCTTACTCGTGCACATTTTACAGCTTTTTTCTATTAGTAGGTTTTCGCTCATAATGGGACTTCTCGCTTGTAGCTTTCCGAATCTCATCTTTCTCTAAGAGTTTTATGACCCCTCTTCGCTTCCTCTGCATCTACGTATTTGTCTTCCTTATTAAACAAGTCATGCATGGACTCTGGGGAGTTCTTAGAGAGCAACATCTTAAATGCGAGGTTCCTAGTTTCATTAATGCAGTTACCACAACAGATATTTGAAGGTCATTTGTGCCAAGTGTAGTTCTACTGAACCTGGCCAAATACTCTTGTAAGCGCTCATCTTTCTTTCGGACAATTTGCATAAATCCAATTACTGTCTTCTTCGCAGTTGGTTGGCCATCGTAGTCCACTATTTATATCACATAGCATCAATATTTAAACGATGTTAAATTTTTCAAATGCATTGCCGTCATAAAATGACATCCTCACTTTGCATGAGTTGTAGAAAACAAATAATTTGGCATTGGTTCGTTTGCCTGAAATTGATGGCAATTGTTGTAACGAATCCATTTCTCAACTCTGTCGTCTGTATCTTCAACTCTATGGGAGTGTAAATTGCACAAAAGATCATTGTCCGGCTAGCCCCTTCTAACTCACTGCAAAAATCCCATTGCAGAAAGGAGCAATACGGATTTGCAAAATGGGGCGTTGAATTGGCACCGAAGATTCTATAGGTAATAGAGGTCAATTCCCTTAGATTTATTTATAAAATCCTTGTTTAGAGAATTTATTTGAAAGCCAGAAAATATAAAACGCGTGAAGAAAAGTAACAAAGCTTACGTAAAAAAAACTCCAAAATTGAAGAAACGTGACGTGCTGAAAAACACAAAAATATCCCACTATATGAAAATCTTGTACAGTCATATAGAATTTCTCGTACACCTAGAAACCCCCAAGCACACCCTAAGATCAGACAGGTTGAGACTATAAAGTATCCCCAAGATATTACATAATATCTCACAAGTTGGGATAGATAAAATATTATGGGGAAGTCGTCTCTATTTATAGGTATGCAAAAGAAAGGAATTTCTACTTCTAGTCAAAGTTGATTCTAAACAATCCCATTGCAATTAGAAAACTAAAAATTTAATGATATTTGGGATATAGAAACATAATCTTTTTTCGATTAAACAATACCAAGTAAAAAAATTTCAACAATCTCCACCTTAACTTTGAAGTATTCAATGATCATCCAAATAGGAATTCTTCCTTGTCTCCTCCAAATGGAATAATATACCTCCTGCATATTCCTGTTTCTTCCACCCTTTTGTTCACCCCACTTGAAAAATTTTGGTGAACCTTTTTCTTTCACGGCCACAATTTTCAAAATATAGAATTGTCATACTCTATCATAAAGAATTTACATATCTAAAATTAACACATTCTAAGAATTTAAAATCAGCTCATATTGAACATCCTTGTTGAAAAATTATTGTGCAACTCCCACGTTCGCCTTTCTAGAGAATAATTTCAACACACGCCATACATCAACACCAAATAAATGCTTGTGTGCAAGTTTGTGAACCCACTAACAATAACACATCCTTCATCATAAAAATTTATTGACTAACATGTCTTGTAAATGGATCGAATACGAACCGGATTTTACCTATATCTGATCCAATCTAATCCGATAATCCAACTGATATTTGATTGTTAAATCCATATCCGATTTGTTATATTATCGGATATCAAATCCGATAATTCGATATAAAATTAAAGAAATTAGGAAAATAAAATCAATGTTGAAAGTAACTTCTTTTTTTCTTTTCTTTTTTTTTTTCCCCAATTTTTCTAATTCTTAAACTGGTTTAATAATTATAAATTTTTCATTTTTTTAAATTTTAGCCAATTGGATTGAAATGTACAAAAAATTGTTTACCCATTTATTGACTCATTTATAGAGGACATTTCTAAACATTTTGTTATAAACTTTCTCCGTGGGATAAAAATCCATTTGGTTTGACTCTAGTACATTGCACTTTTGATTCGACTATAATGTATTGTAAATTTAATTTGATGGTAGTGTATTGTACTATTATATAAATAGTTCTTTAATATTTTATTAAATTAATCGTTTTTTTTTTCTATCTTTTACTAATTAATTAAAATATAAAACTTTTTCAAAATTTTCAATTAACACTTTATAATAAAGCTCTTAAAATTGCATTTGTAACTATAATTGTATGTATTATCAAAAAAATTTTAGATTGATTAAAAATTTAAAATAAGAAACTACTTTTTGACTTTTTTTACGCCTAGTCTTCGTCTAGACTCGCCTAACCCGAAACCTTCACTCCTCGCTACGCATTACACTTTTTAAAATAATGCGTACAAGTGAATTGACTTTCTTATTTTATTTTTTTATTTTTTGAATTTGATGACTTTTTAATTTTAAATTCTTTATTTTTCTCATTTATTTATTTTAGTGACAAATAATATGTCATACAAATATTTAATCGACTCAACTATTTACAACAAATCTGATCGAGCTATTTTCGAATCGGATTGACCTATATCCATATTTGATCCATTTAGTTAACGGATTATCGAAATCGAATTTTGATCGGAACATCAAAACTCTGAACCACCTGAAGCTGTGTGTAAGCATACAATAAAAGGAGAAAAATAACACAAATTTACTTGAAAAACACCAAAATCAAAGAGGAATTGAGACTACTGAAGACTAAATTCTGTCACTACATGAAAAATTTGTAGAATCATATAAAATCTCTCACACCCAAACACACCCCAAAATGGGACAAGAAGAAACTACAAAGGGTCCCCAAATCTCACTCCAAGATAGCCCATAACTATCTCACTAGTTCGAATAAATAAAATACAAAGTCTCTATTATAGGGATACAAAAGAATGGGATTTTTGTTTCTAATCAATGTGGAATCCTAAACAATCCCATTTCAATCCCATTGTAATTAGAAAAATAAAAATTCAATTACATGGGGGATATACAAACATAATCCTATTTAATTAGACACTGGTAAGTCAAAATCCCAACAAATACACTATCTTGCAACTGATAAAACTAGCAAGGTAAACTACACAATACCGGACGGTACTGAAGAGAGTGGGGAACAAAAAAAAAAATCTTATCTATTATACTTTTTGAGTTCAATTTAATATTGTGTACCAAATATGTGCTACATGTACAAATAATGGCTTAAATTTTGGAGAGAATTCCCATTTTTTCTTAGTTTAGTGAGAGCTGTCCTTTCTATTTTTCTTATCCACTCTTTGCTTACACAAAAAAGCCTCCCAATTTCCTCAAGTGACTTTCTCTGATGGTTTCCCACTCCAAATCTTAGGATTACTACTTGCCTCTCTCTTGTTTCCAACCCATTGAGAAGTGTATAAACATCCTGTATCATTTGCTGCCTCATTACAGTTTCTTCAGGGCTCATTATTGAGGTATCGGGCATAACTTCCTGCACGACAATTGCAAAAGACCATTTCAGATAAAGAAATCCATTATTCAAACATGCCTGTCCATGAATTGTCGAAAAAATTTGTTATCCAAGTTTCAACATAGCTAGCAAAATGAATTGTCAGCAGAATCACAATTCTAGACACCAAAACAGAATGCTTGATCAAACTGAGGTTTCAAGATTGATGCATTAATATCTCATAATGCACCAAGTCCATGTTTGGTATGCAGTTAATGAACAAGATTTAAGCTTTTCATTCTTCCATGTCTAATAGTACTACCCAATCCTCCCTCCTAAACATGCCACAAGGGGACACGAGACACAGGATGCATTAGAAAAGGTAAGTCTTAGCTCGAGACAAGCATATTATGAAACATACGTCTTCATAATTAAACCACAAAATACTCCATTTTAAATGTATGATGAAAAGGTGTGAGAGACATTTACAAATTAGAATCTAGTGATAGTCTGATTGAGAATTTCTAAGACGTTTTTCATTTTCTCATTCACCCAAACGTGTCACGAGGATAAAAAACGATAAATAGAAAGAATGAATATACTAATAGGCTTAGGAGACCCATGGAGAATAATGGTGGCATTTCATCCCCAACAATATGATGAGGGTGATTAGGGACTCCACATATTTTTTTTGCTTTCAAAATCAGTAATATAAAGACCAGACTCGCTATGATCATGGTTTATAATATAACATGGATGATTCATGTGCTTCAAAACATATATGGATGCGTACATTTGGTGCGAACTTGAAGACAAGAATTCTACAAAGCAATAAATAAACTTAGCACCCTATGTATCTGAGATAGAGCATTCATCAACTCTTAACAAGACAGTAGGGAACCATGATGAAAGAAGAAACTTAAATTTGACGTACCAGATATTTTGCACTAATGCCTTCCCCCAATTTTTGATCTATTGAACCTACAACTCTGAGACATTTGCTAGCTGATGTAATCTTAGCTATAGATAGACCTGTAAACTTGGCAATTTCATTATCATCTGGATGTTTTCCGTGGCTGCTACTAAGGGACTTTCGAGCCTTATGTACTTGATATATCACTTTGCTTAACATGAACTGTGGAAAACAGGAGTAAACAAATGGAGACTCAGCTTTTTTGAGTAGTGTATGAATCTTGAATGAATAAATCATGTCACAAGGACTAAAATCACATACAGGTATTCGAACTCCTCTAGCATGTCGTGCTACTAACATTGACATTGACTTCCTAATCCAATATTGAACATAGGTCGAAAACTTGTATCCTCTTGATTGGTCAAACCTTTCTGCACCTTGCAAGACACCAAAATTTCCTGCCTGTAGACCATTGAGATATACAAGGTCATATATTTTGGGAATACAAAACACAAAAAAAATTAAAAATAACAACAGCAGAAGCAGCAGCAACAACTAAGCATTATTTCGATATAAATTTGGAGTCAATCTACAATTATTATTTTTTAGCAAGTGTTCTATCCATAGCTTCATCTATTGGAAGATTGAATGCAATCATGTCATTTGCAACTACAATAATCCATGCTAATTTTCATGTCTCTCTCTTTAACTTTTCTTACCTGTTCTACTTGGATAATGCTGATGTGTAATAAAACTCTTTGTATTAAATAATACAATTTTAGAAAAATCGTCAGTTCAAGTGTTAAGCATTGCTCAATCATGATCCTTCTTTCCGTCAGGTGAAAAAAAGAGAGAACAGAGCACAAACCAAAAGATGTACACAAGACAGACAAAACAAACCTGAATCAAATCTTCAAAGGCCACTCCAAGTCCGCGGTAATTTTTTGCAATGAACACAACCAAGGAACGTGTACTTCTAAGAAGCTCATCCCTGCACTGCCAACCACGATGCAAATGCTGCTGCAGTATCTTCTTCTCAACTCGAGCAGCTTCTGCCCAGCTATTCAAGCTAGCCACTTGACCGGTTTCTTCTCCCAGCATAGTCCTGACTTTTTCCAGATCTGCAACCAACTGTAATGCTACGATAGTTAACTGTGAGACCGGCTTAGGACAATGACAAGTAGAAACAAGTGTTTATTTAAGAGAATCCAAAACAACCTTAACCCCACTAGACATTTCTGCCTCGTTCTTAACAATTTTCAATTTTTTCTTTCTAGGTATCGAGGCTCTTCTTTGAGAGGATATTTTATTCCCTGGAACGGTTTCGGGGGATAAGTCCAGCATAGAACTATCATTGCCCTTTTCCAATGCTCTCTTTCTCCTTAATCTTCTTTGCTCTTTTTTCCCAGATTGAACAACTACTTTGCCTTCATGATCATTCACTAGTTCATTTATCCTTGTTTCTTCAACAAGCTGAGTTGGCGCGTCAGAGAAGTCAAATAAAGTTGAGGACTTGAGGGTCCGGGATAGACATGTATGGAATAATCTCAGAGCTCCAAGCCTCTCTAGCTGTTGAAGAATATCTCTTTCCAAACTTATCACATCGGATTCGGAAAACATCTTCTCCAACTTATCAAGATTTTTTATCAACAAATTAAATTGTGATGCTTCAGTTGCTTTTAAGCTAGTAAGAAATGGCGGCTTATCCTCCTCTGCGGACATCTGGACATTATCATCAATCAAACTGTATAAGCCATTTCGGGATCGCTGTCTAGGATATATCTGAATAAACAGAAGTACAAGTGAGTTAAACATACTGAATCCAAAAGAAAATAATGAAAAATAAAAAGAATTGGCAAGTACAAGCACGTGATATGTTACTGACAGTGCAAAGATAATTAAAGAAAGGGAAGTAACCTTTATTTCTTTGTTTCTGAAGTAATTGTCCTCCAAAATTTGTGGGCTAGTCGAACAAGTACGAGGTCCCAAAGGATCAATTAGAGTTTCAGTCTCCCCATACATAACGGACGTAATAGGCAACTTTGTTAAGCAAATACTCTCTCTGCCTTTTCCTCTGCCTGTATTGTATGAAAAAAGAGGTATTTTTACAAAGCATATGCTTGGAGGGATTTCAATCATATGAACACTGACCATGCAGTAAAATTCAAACTTTAGGCAAGCTTAAACATACATGACAATTGCCCCAAAAAAAAAAAAGGAAAAGGGAAAAAATATACGCATAATTTGTTATTTCAAAATGACTGCAGAGGGATTTTAAATTGAATTGTTTCACATGAATCCTTCATCCAGCGATCCTTTTCTATGATTTTTTAAATATTGTATTGTTTCATAACATTTTTTCACTGTTGATTCTAATTTCAATTTCATGGAGAAAATTCATTAACCTCCCATTTTCTTCCTTTTCGTTTTCTAATCATTACATTCTTCTTCAGTTCAAAAACACTAAACCCACTTCTCCAATCGCAGTAGTAAACTCATCAAATTTGGTAGCTATTACAGTAGCAATAATTTGAACTAAAGTCCGCAAAATTTTGCAATTTGCAATCAATGGAGGTGAAAAGTTGTCAAAGGAGCAAGAAACCTTCAAACCCAAATCTTATCCTAAATCAAAGTATACCATAAATTAGCTAGTCGGGTTACCATATCGATAAAAAGAATTTTTACCAGAACCCAAATTTCTTTATTCGCATAAGAATAAAATGATGCAGTAGAATGAAGAAAATTGACTACTCACAAGAATAGGAAGAGGGCAAAGATGATGATGAACTTGTGGAGAGAAGGGACTGGACTGAGAGACTCCCCCATTTGAAATCCAACCTAAAACCCATATCTCCAAAAGAAAGAAAAAAAAAGGCAGATTGCCCATCAAATTTAATGGGAGATTGAGGAGTAATTGTAGGTGGATATGAAAATCTTGTCAGCTCACAGCCACTTATTCCCCATCTGAAGCTAAGTGGTCAACATAGAAGAGAAGAAAGATCTTCTTTCTTTTCCTCTCTTTTTTTGTTTTCCAAACTATTCGTGCAATCTCTTTGCCTGAACTTTAAGAGAAGTGCTTGCATTACATGCCCCTGCCAGGGTCCACATATTTTTTTTAATTTTTTTTAAGAGGAAATTACATCTAATCCTACTTTTAACTTATCATTTTCATAATTCTAAATTTAACTTTGATTTTTCACTAATCAGGTTTTGAGGAATTAAATAAATAATTTTTTATTCATAATAACCAACCCCTTTTTTTACGTGGAAATTGGAGAGAGAATTTTAAATAAGTAAACTATATCTTCTATAACCTCCTAGAACCACTAAACACCTTATTTCTCGCAACTTCCTAAAACCACGGAATTGGTTCTTACCCAAACCATTTCATTCTCTTCATTTTCACATCAAAACAAAAACCCAAAATCGATTATTGTCTACATTGCTCACGGGTACAAGTACCAAGACGGTGATACTGTGAAGGGTGTTCAAAGAAGGGGAGGAGGTAACTGAGACTTGGGTTGCGAATTTGCAAACGGTGTATAGGAGAAATGGCCTTAACGCGAAGTTGTGACCGAACGGCACGTTCCGACGCTGATGAACCCTCTGGGACCGCACGTCGTAGCAGGGGAATGGCAAATGTGGCGAAAGCGTGTCGTGAAGAAAAATTGAACATCCCCAATAAATCGCGTCCGAACTTGGAGAAGAGGGCTCGCAAGGATTACCCTAGAACTCCTGTAAACCCTCGAAAATCGAATCCGGCTAAGGTAAGTTTTTTTGGCAATTTCTCGACATTTGTTGTTGATTGTGACCTAGATTTTTATGTATTGTGACTCAAGCGTTCATTTGTGATAAAACAGTCCTAACTAAGTCACAATTCTTCTTCTAATGTGACATATATATTTTCTGATGAACATTGGGTCACAATCAGTTGATATGTATAGTTATTTATGTATGATATCGTTTGTTTTTATGTATTGTGACCCAGGAATGGAAATACATTATACCAGAAAATTCATGGTTTCCCAAGAAGATTACAACAAATGTGGCCAAAAACGTATTGACAAATTTCACTTCTAAGTTCAATGCGGTTCAAAGGTCTATTCTAGCAGAAACTTGCTTCTCTCATTTCATGGAATGTAATGAAATTATTCTACAGCATAAGTTCAATGCGGTTCAAAGGTCTATTCTAGGAGAAACTTGCTTCTCTCATTTCATTGAATGTAATGAAATTATTCTACAGCCACAGCTTATACACTTTTTTTTATGAGGAAAGTGTTGCAACCTAATCCAAATGAGATGTGGTTCAAAGGTGGTAATAGATTTTTTAGATTTTCGATGTGCGAATTTTGTTTAGTCACAGGCCTTAGATGTAGTGGTGATCATTTTAGGAAAGATATTGACAACGTTCCGTCCAGGATAAAGGTAACATATTTTGGGCACTTGAAGTTGGTGACAAAAGAGGATGTGAGGAATGTGTTTATGAATGTGTCTGATGTAGACAATCGTGATGTTGTGAGGATTGGGATTTTATATTTGATAACGTCTTATTTGTTCTCCACATCATATAAAAGAGTGGTTGATAATTTTTTGTTTGCGTTGGTTGATGACTTTGAGAATGTAATGAAATTATTCTACAGCTATAGCTTATACACTTTTTTTTATGAGGAAAGTGTTTCAACCTAATCCAAATGAGATGTGGTTCAAAGGTGGTAATAGATTTTTTAGATTTTCGATGTGCGAATTTTGTTTAGTCACAGGTCTTAGATGTAGTGGTGATGATTTTAGGAAAGATATTGACAACGTTCCATCCAGGATAAAGGTAACATATTTTGGGCACTTGAAGTTGGTGACAAAAGAGGATGTGAGGAATGTGTTTATGAATGTATCTGATGTAGACAATCGTGATGTTGTGAGGATTGGGATTTTATATTTGATAACGTCTTATTTGTTCTCCACATCATATAAAAGAGTGGTTGATAATTTTTTGTTTGCGTTGGTTGATGACTTTGAATGGAGATGTTTCCTTTTGGGAATGACTTATTTCAAATGTCTCTAAAATCTTTGAAGGAGGGTTTAAGTCACAAGAATCCACATTATAGGTTGAAGGGTTGCTTGGTTGCATTTCAAGTGTGGATATATGAGTGTATTCATGGACTAACTGGTCTTATGACTAGTAGGATGGGTAATAGTTATCCATGTATTGTAAATTGGATGTCAGAGAAACAGCCGTCTGCTGTTAAGTTGGAAGAAGATGTCTTCTCCACTCATGATGTAAGTCTTTATTTTATCTGTTTTTTACACAAGTTATAAGGTCGCAGAATAGATACATAAGTCACAAGGCCACAGAGTTGCACACATATGTCACAAGGACCCATATATGTATTCATGGATCACGCACTAGTCATGTACTGCGTTCAAAACCATCAAATGACAATGAATTTGTAGCTTCTGAGTTATACACCACTAAAAAGTGTTTCATTTGCAATATTCTCACAGCTTGAAATTTGTTTTATTTTTCTGTCTGACATGGAGTTGGAGGCTCAATATATGAATAGTGTTTCGTACACCAAACCTATGCAACCACATGCTCATGGAGATCAGAACAACAAAGGCTCAGGCTCAAGTGTTGGCACATCCCATAAACAGTTGTTGATGATTACAGATGGCAGAAAGGGACACTCCAGTGATGTTGATGATGATGACGATGACTTTATGGTTCCACCTCCCAAAAAACAGAGGACACCCACTGTGTACATATCCACCGAAGAAGAGCAGGGAAGTGAGCCACAGGTAGCACAAAGCGAGCCTTACCAAGCTTATGAAAACGTGAACATGATGCCACAGGCAGGTGAAGGTTTTTTGCCGAATGAGCCAACGTCGACACGAGGACATGATGCACCTCAAGTAGATGTAAGTTGATTAATGTCCTAGGTCACAAATCATTTGTGACTTTTTAATGTCCTTATGTAACTAACATGTGCATTATACTTATGTGTATATGTGTAGGTGTATGAGCAATTGAAAGAATTGAACGGGAAAATGAATAAGATGTAGTTGAAGAATGCAGAATTAACTTCAGTTCTACATGATGTCAAGTCACAAGTGATAGCACTGCAGGAAGATCGTAAACTTAAACTGAACTAGATTATCCGAATGCAAGGGGAGATTAAATGTGACATGATGGACGTAAGGTCCAACATGATGTTTCTGTCGGATTCTGTGACTGGCTTGATTTCGAGTACAATGGACGCCATTTTGGAGAAGTTGAAAGAGAAGAAGTTTGATGGAAAAAGTGATAATGTTGACGAGCAACCTCAGAGAATTTAAGTAGAGTTGTGAAGTTTTGAATTGTTTACTAATATTATCTCCCAGTTTTTCATGTAACATTTCCTACATTTAGGGCATAACACCGGATCCACCTGTGGACAAGAAAGGAAAGAGGAAGATGGAATATGCTGGAGTTGTTGAATGTCAACATTTTCCTCCACCACCGTAGTTTGATTTGAGGATTTCATGTACACCAATCATGTCGGGTGTGGTGAACCTTACTGAAATGTTCCAAACCACAGAAGTTCAAGAATGTATTGATGATGTGATTGTTGGTGTGCTTGAGTGGGTTGTTTCTGATGATGTAGATGTTGAGGCAACGAAGGAACAAACAAAGGCGATTGTGGTATTGATAAACTTGTTTCAAATTTCAATTAAATTATAAGTCACAGTTCACAGGTTATTTATCTATTTCAATTTCATCCTTTTGCAGATATCTCCTCCTTCGGCACAGTCTTCTAGCTTGCCTGTTAAGATGGCTCTCATTGGTTCTTTGACTATGGGCTCAAAAACATGGTGGCATGAGCTTATTAGTTCAAAATCTTCTCTGAGCAACACGTTATGTCTTCTATACAAATTGTGTGTATCCTACGGGTTTGTTACAAGACACAGTGTATATGCATGGATAAAAAGTTGTATATATATCATATGTAGATGTCACAATTCGGAAGACTAATATTAATAAGGACTCTGTTTTGATGAATTCAAATGTAACCATTATGCACAGGTCACAGAGTCCTGTCAATAACACTTAAGTCACACGTGTCTTTTTCAATATTATGTAAGTGTCATGAATGATTTCACCATGGTCACATAAACTGTCTAATGAAGGTAAATTTAACTTTGACAGCACATGGAAGTGTGTTTTTATTTTCTACGGCAATTTGCTTCAAGAAGTGGGCTTGCTAGAGTGAGAGCCACCACGACAGATTCGTTGTTCCAAGCTAAGATCAAGAATTTGTTTGCCAATTTCATGAAAGATCCTAATGTGGTAATGTCAGATTCCTACATTGTTGAAGTTGCCGAGGTGGCCGGATAGAGTACAATCGTCCAAGGCTGATGTAGATTATGTGTTGTTGCCAATTTTGCCCACAAATCGTGTCCACTGGATGCTTGGGTGTCTGAACATAAGGAAGCGTGTCCTTTACATATTTCATTCAAGCTACAAGATATATCGAGATAAAATGGTTAATACACGGATTGAACCATTTGTAAGAATTATCCCTCATTTGATGCATAGTTTGGGTATATGGGAAAGAAGGTCTGACGCTGCCGATCCACTTGGGATGATGACCATGGTTGCTGATAACATACCACATCAACAGAATGGGTATAGTTGTAACTTAGTTTTCAGTTCTTGATAGTTACTTTTACTCCCTGATTTGTGACATGCTTTTTTTTTTTTTGTTTTTTGAATTATGTTCAGGCATGATTGTGGCATATTCGTGATTAAGTATGCAGAATACATGCTTCACAATACCATGATAACTATGCCGATTACTTTTGACGCTGGGCAAGC